CTCCTCCTCCTCCTCCTCCTCCTCCTCCTCCTCCTCCTCCTCCTCCTCCCTCCTCCTCCTCCTCCTCCTCCTCCTCCTCCTCCTCCTCCTCCTCCCCCTCGCCGCCCCAGCAGAGGAGCCGCAGGTGCCTTCCGGAGTCTGTCCCGGCCGGCCTGCAGAGGGGGCGGACACGGCTGCCAACCCCGCGCGAAGGGCTCTGAGAGGAGAGGAGGGGGAGAAGCAAGGAGGACGAGGAGGGGGATCGCGGGGTCGCTGTCGGCACGCAGCGGTTGCCCGCGAGGGAGGGGGGACCATTCAGCGGCGCGCTGCTCCTCCTTCCCTCCCCCCTCGGTGCTGGTTCCTCCCTCGCGCGAGACTAACGCCGGAGTCGTGCATGGTCCGCTGGGGAGCCCGTGCGTGCCCCCTTGGCCTCAAAAATGTGGTACATGGGCGGACCCACGTGGCAACCAGGAGCCTCAAACATATGTTAGCCAGCGTGGATCCCAAACAGTGCGCTTCTAGCCATCTGTATTGTGGCGATATACACACACATATACATATATATATATATATATGTATATAATTCCACTCGAAACATCGCGCGCGCTCAAGCTCTAGCTAGGCTTGATGGCTAACGCATGGAATTTCATGCTCGTTGTTTCTTGCATCCAGAGACTCTTGGAGACCCTGCGCAAGCCTCGGAATCGTATAGAAGTGGAAGTGCGGAAACGCAGAAATGATTAAATCCCCTTAGGTGTTTGACGATTTGGAGTCCTCGAAAGCTCTCTGGGTTCTTTTCTGGGAGGTGAGGGGGGCCTTAATTGTGGTCTGTTGTGCAGGAGTAGACAGGGGGCGAATTTGAAAAAAGGGAGTTGTGACATTTTCATGTTTTCTTCAAGTTGCCTGGGCTGAAGGCTGAAAGCTCTCTGGATGCAGTCCACGGTCTGTTGGGATGCCTCTCGGGGCCTGCGTGCAAAAATAAGCAGGGAGCGAGATTCAAAAAAAACTAAGGAATTCTAAAGTTCATTGCTCAACTCATGGGATCATTGAATCTCGATATCTACGGTGGTTTCAGGGGCAGCCAAGAGGACACGAAAACGATCCAAGAGAGTGCCAAGACAGCGTAGAGAATTCAACAGCATTCCCGGGAAATCTTTGCATGTGACCCCAAAGTCTTGATGGGGCTCGGGATGGACTTGAACAACAAGATAATGACTGGAAATACTTGTTTTTCAAGTGGGTTCTCACATGTAGTACGCAGGAATCAAGGGAAGCCTAAGAGGCGTGCAGGGGGCTCTTGGGAGGCGGTTTGGAGGCCTCTGGGGGGTTGTTTGGGGGCCTCTTGGGGCTACTTTTGGGCCTCTAGCATTGGAAGCTTGAAAAACGCGAGAAAGCCAAACAACTAAATTTAAAAAAAGATGTTGGTGTCTTCGGGGCGGGCTGTCCTTGGGCGTTTTGGGAGCTCCCTGGGAGGCCGGACGGCGCGGTACCAGGAGCGTTCGGCAGATGTCACGGAGAGGTGTGGCACCCTGGGGGGGTCGTATTTGTTTCTGCAATTCATAATAAATTGTATTATATATGCCGTGCGATCTGTGTGAAAACTGCGCGGTGCAACAGATGCGGTGCTACTTATGTGGTGCAATATGCGTGGTGCGATCTACGTTGTGCAAGATACGTCGTGCGACTTCTGTTGTTTGTGTAATAGATGCGGTGCAATATATGCGGTGCAATATTTGCGGTGCGATCTATGCGGTGCAGTATATGTCGTAAGAATGCGGGCTCATATGGATTATCTCGCCTGCACCATCTCAATACCCATTCTGTCTGCTTTTCTGGCTCTCTCTCTCTCTCTCTTTTTCCCCTCTCTCGCCTGCTGCTGCCTGCTCGGCCCGAGCCGGTGTTTGAGACAATCTGGCCACTGGAGCGGTGGTCCGGGAGAAAGAGCGCCTTACCTCGATCCCTGTCGGGATCCGCCGCCGTCCCCGCCGCCGCTGCGGGCAAGGAGGTAGGCCGCTGGAGGCTACCCCGCTCCGCAGTGGTAGCGGAGCAGGCACGCGTGCGATCGCCATAGCAGCAGGGGAGATCACGGTCGACGAGGCTGGAGTTCGAGCGAGCAGCAGCTGTACTACAGCAACAAGAAGGACGTGTACACGGAGGCTCGGATACAGCCAGCATCGAGCGCGACGTCGTGGAGGCGGCCGGCCGTGGGCAGAGTAGTCCTCAGGCCCGAGTCGCTTCCTCGGCGTGATGGACATGGAGGTTCGCGAGAGTGGCGTGGACGGTCATCGACCACCACGTGGACGACGGCGCCGCAGTGGACGAGCCTCGACCTGGAGGGCATCCCGACGTGGGACGGCTCGGCGTCGAGGTGGCGGCGCTACAAGAAGGACGTGGCCCTGAGGATCGAGGGCATCAACCTGGACGTGAGTTGGAGCTGGGCGGCCCGGATGGTGCGGTGCCTGACGGGCCCGGCGAAGACGCTCGGCGAGTCGATCACCATGGTGGAGCTGCGCGCGAAGCCGTGGACGTGGGTGCCCGACATCA